TTGCTGCCCTAAAACACTCTGTTCAGGCCACCTTGAAAATGAAGGTCTGCGAAGCGAGAGCAAAGGACTTTCCACCTCCTCGCTTCCCAGTCTTCCCAGGGTTCATATAGGGAGCCAGGCCATTTTCAGAATCTTCTGGATTTGAGCTGTTCGAGTTCCTATTGAAGGGTATATGTTCTCGTTGGCGAGTGCGTCACCACCCGCTCCAAAAGCATCAAAGCATCACCTTCCAGAGTTTACGTATATCTTTCTCGAGCCACACATGCACAGCAAACCACAGCTATGAAGTCTCATTCGTGCTTTGAACTGGTATAGGTGTGTAAGAGGTATAGCAACATAGCATTCATACGGACCCACGGTAGCTACAATTCTGTTCCCAGGTATCGCGCGCATGAGGCTTCAAAGCTGTGGATTGCTGTGCGTGTGTAGAGGTTATCGAGCGGTTGACGGAAAGGGAACTTGAAGTACTATACCTGGTAGCTGCACTATAGCTACCCTGGGTCTCTATACCTGGCAAGGTGCCAACTACACCTTTCCATTCAGATGATGCAAATAATGCAAATTGCATTTCTTGCATCACCACCCCTCAAAAATCACCTCCAACACAACCTAAAAAAACCTTCCCTCGACGCACCCTCCTCCCCCAGCATGTGCCGAGTTTACGTGTACCTTTTGCGGGCCACCCCCCCAGACCCCCTAACTACTCACTTCGTTCGCCAAACACAACTCCGCTGGCGCCTTCTACGAAGGCTGGCTTTCGTGATGTGAAGCACCTGAACATGCATATCTTGGACTACCTTGGTGTAGTTATTTGATGAAAAAAAACTCACGACCGAATGTGCCTCAAACAGTAACTGGTACTGGATTTTGCTAAATTAACTACAACATTCTGTAAACAGGGGCAGTGATGGGCCGACTCTCCCAGTTATCCATTGAGGTGTTTCCTAGGGCAGTGATGGGCCGTGTGATCTCATTCAGCGTTTCAAGTCCGAATTCTGCACCGGAAGACACTGCAGCCGACTCACAGACACTGAACACTGGAGAACTGACTGTGAATGTTCTGAGAAGCCAAGTTGCGATGGACCCGATGGAGCTAGCCAAAAAGCTCATGTCAAATAACTGTTACAACTGGACATCAACCCTTCATGAACGGCTCCCAACCAGTCTCCAGCCCAGGGTCTTTGGGTCAGATTGAACATTCTATGGACCCTAAAGGGACTAAAAAGATAGACTCTTGATGAACAAAACACCGCAATCATATAAAGAGGCTGTTCGTCTTCCAAATTCTGTGCTTTTCTTCATCAACATTGGAGGTGAGACGGTGCACCAGGCGTCTGATTGTGATGCGGTTTCTTTCCCATCGCGATGTGTCAGAGCTGTCAGCATGGCGTGCTCGAACATTGCAACAAAGCAGGCTGTGCATGGGGGCGTTGGTGAGGGAAAAGCTTAAACAGTTGGAGGAATTGAAGTGTGCTGTGAAAAACTGACATTTGTTGAATGCGTGTTGAACACATTCTGACATTTGGTAATTGTTATAGAGCATGAGAAGACACGAGAAACCCAATTTCCCTAGCAAATGGTGGTTCCAAATGCCACATGGGTAGGAAGTCAGATGTTACATTATTAGAATAAACAAATGCAAAACCGAGTGCTGCGATCGACACCTCCACAGCTGGCAAAGTTTGTGTGCAGGTGTCCGAGCGAGAATTGCATATCTCAGCCAACGTACCAAGGGCTTCTTCTGCTTTGACCAACCCAATTGAGACTTTGAAGCTCGGTCACTGACATCTGAAACAGTTGTCCAATCTGTCTGCAAAATCCTTGAGCGAAAGCAAAACAAGTTCCAGATTTGATTCAACCAAGAAGAATTGCATCCCCCAAACATGCACCTACTTGGATCTTGTAGAATACGTGCACCACTTGACGTACCCAAGGACTAGCTGACTAGCTGTGCCGCATGGATTCAATAAAACGTACGTGCCATCAGTGTTGATCTTCAGTACATTCATCTTTATATGATATATTGATATTACAATATTAATGTATCCATATGTATCCGCTCAAATAGAGAGACGCAAATGGAATCTGCTCAAATAGAGAGACGCAAATGGACAAAAAAGACATTCGCCATCATTCGCCTATAGTCTACCCTGTGGACCAAACCGTTGCTGCTCACTGCGACAAACTGGATCAACTCCGAACGCCAAGCACCTACACGACCCTAAAGGGCTCACTCATCATCTTGACATGGCATTTGAAGCTTTTCTCAACACATCTAGCGGCATCTTTGGAACACTCCAAACCGTGGTAGGTAGGACGAACGTCCCTCTACTAAGTTCCTTTGAGCTGTTCATGAGGGGGGTTTAACTGCAAACATCTCGCAACCTCTTGCACCAAGAAACATGCAGCCATCCGAGCCGGTTTGCCCTTTAAGGCATAGGTCGATGCCACCCACAAATTGTACGGAATGATTGAACGGCAAAGGACGCCCAAATTTGTTGATTCAAATACCCACAAACCTACGCTATGCCGTTAATATGTGTATCACGACACAAACAGTTACACCTACTTGGAAACTCTTTTATACTCTTTTGATATCGTGTGTAATGGTATGTTTTCTTTGTTAATGGTAGGCTCATACAGGCTAAACCCCTTCAACCCTCCCCAACAAGCTGTCTTTTGACCCGCGGCTTGACACTGCACAGGTCAACGCTGCGCCTCACGCGGCACAGCGAGCAACGCAACAAGCGTGATCAATACAAAGAAGGTGCAATCACAAAAATCTCATGAAACATAATATAACAGAATCAATATGCAATGCAAATCAATAGAGGAAACGCGGCTGGAAATCACAAAAAAAAATCCACGACTGCTGGAACTGGAGGTGCTTCTGAAAAGCCAGTAGTGGATCCAACGAATAATATTGATAACTGCACAAAAAAGTGATATGAAACGTGAACAATAGTATCCAGTGATCTTGTGGTGCCAAAGAAGTCACTCCTTCAGTTATGCATCATCAGCACTTTTTACTTCTCATCCAAGGAAGAATGCGCACTTTCTAGTGGTTTGTGGGTGCAGAAGAATGTGCATTCGAGGGGGGGCGAGGCGACTGTTCCCTCGCACCACGTGCAACTGTTCTGCTGGTGGTCAAGAAACCACATGGGATGCACAGCTGAAGTGCCTTAAGTGACCTAAACCTCGGAGTCTGCAGTTTTTTCAGCAGTTTTACCAGCAACTCCAAATCAACCCAACAGCTGCAAGTGTCCCCCGCCTTGGCCTTGCTCCTCTTCTTGATGGCCACCTTAGCCGCCTCCGCAGCCTGTGGGCGTTCTGTTTGGATCAGCTCATGGCATGTGGATGCCAAGAAACCCATAAACCAAATACCTCCAATGAAAAAAGCCGGAAACAACTCCTGATATGGAAAGCAATGCATCACACCTGCAGGCGAAAAGATCAAGTCAGTGCGGAAAACTCTTCGCTTGCAACTGGGCGTTGTGACATGGATCTGCAAAACTAGTCAGTCTCTCAGTGAGCAGTAGCTGCACTTCAGAAGAATCGGTGCGTCGCACCACGTGGAATTGGTGATGTTGGGTGGTTTGGGTAGTCTATCAACCAGGATCGGATGTTTTTGATTGTTTTTGCTGTTCATGGAACATATCCTGCACCGCCAAAACCCGGAACATCCCACTTGTTGCGCCCATCTCTCCAATCGGATGAGAGATGGAGCATCTCTACAGGACTTCTTCCAATCCCACAAGAGAAAATCTCTCTAAATCCTTCGTGGAAGAAACATCCCACACCACACCCCACTTCCTTTTGTTTGACCTTTGCTTGGCTCTGGCTACCGCTGCACAAAGCTAGCCCAAACAAACCTAAGCCGTAGAAGCTCCTGCCGCCATGGGCCATCCGAACGGTGCGGCTCGCGCCTCATTGGCGCGGCTCGCGGAGTCCTGAAGCTCAGGAAGCTCAGCCAGTAAGGCTAGCCGTTCGGGCTGCGTTGAACACAAACAGCCTTTGAGGTTTTTGAGGATCAGGTAGATAAGGTCGAATGCTTTAAGATCCAGTCTGAGATCAGGTTTAGATGTAAGGTAATTACGCAAGGTACTCCCAAGTTTGGACTCCGTTCCAGTTCGATGAAGCGGATGGTCAAACGCAGATCTTTGGGGATGGCGAAGCTATGATTCATGACATCCCTGGCCGCCACTGGCCCCTGTGAATTCCGTGAATGTAGAAATCCCGTATTGTTGATCGCGGCTGAACCCAACAAACCTCAAGATATATATATATATATCCCTAGAGCGATCCAGACACCCTCTGAGAAGGTGATTGGAGACACTGTTATACGTTATTGCCATTGTCGGGTCCAGTCGTACCCGAACCTGAGAAGCTACGACTGGATCCCTAGGGTTTGTATTTGCTTCCTGGCTCCTAGACCTGCTCGAACCGGCTCCGGCTTTTGGCGCTGATATCAAACAAAGTACCTTTGTCGTAATGTGGGCCTCTTATTAATAAACCCCCCCCCTCCCCCCTTGATCAAGTGTGGGCCCCAAATAATGTGAAATCCAGAAAAATCCCAGAAAATCTTGATTTGAATTGGAAATAAAAGGAAAGGAAAGGAGATTGAAGGAAAGGAAAAGAAATGAAAGGAAATGAAAGGAAAGGAAAGGAAATTGAAAGGACAATGAAAGGAAAGGAAAGGACATTGAAAGGACAATGAAAGGAGTGGGAAAGAAATGAAAGGAACATGAAAGGAAAGGAAAGGAAATTGAAAGGACAATGAAAGGAAAGGAAAGGAAATCACGAAAAGAACCAGCCAGGGATTGTTTAGTATTATTTGAGGTCTGGAGTAATTGAAGGTTTGGG